AAGAGTGTTCAGTTTCTCCGTCTTCAAGTACCAATAACGAATTACAAGGTTAAAGAATAAAAGACTTACCTTAACGACTGGAATGTTACTTGATTATGACGATGGGCTGGGCTTTCCACTACGATGCCGAGGAAATCTAAGTAATCGCGCTCAGCATGCGCTGAGTGAAGAAAACAAGGAAAACCTCAACAAAATGAGTAGAATACCAACCGACAGTATCTGCTTGACAGCTTCTCAAATCACGAACACATGTGATGCGACACGTCTTCGGAAGTTGTACTTCTACCTATAAAAAATCGCTTTATAGCGGTTTTAACGACAATTCCCACATTTCACTCATGAATGACCAGAATCTGGGATATGTGTATGTTATGTGCTCAATACACTGCAAAAGCAAATGTTAGAATAAATGGAAAAATTCATGAAACACGTAACTGCTATCAATCGCCTTACATACAAGATTCAATCATAACGCTTTTGAAAGATCCTCGCGAAAAGGCATCCTGGTTTTATGGCGTGAGCGAATAGACCTTAGATAAATGCGTTTACTGCACTTTGATGGTTTATTGGACCCTCTCCTCTGGCTGATGTCGCTATCCGGTGTAACTGTGTTTCCGCTAACGTATATAGCTGAGGGTAGGTTCATACTTTTCGGCGGCGTTTTGAGCGTTTAGAGTGCCGATTACCACGTATACTGTCCTTTTCGCTCGAGACGCTCAAAATGCCGACGAGAAGAACCAACACCGACGAGCCTCAAATGGGAGAGGTATGTGACAGACAATCGTAATATGTCGCGCTGTCGCGAACGAGCAACCTCGCTTCCGTAGGACGAGTTGACGAGTTGTCCCACCAGGACGGTTGGACTTAAATGTTAAGGGACGTGAAAGATCAATACAACAGCCATGGAGTCTTGCTTGGGCTTGAATTTATAGGTTTTTTTTTGTGTTCACTGTTCTAGTCGACAAACTGGTGCCTCTTAGAGCTTGCCGCGCACCGCCGCACGACGTGCAGCGCACGACAGCGCGGTAAGCTATGTCTGCCATGAACGCTCCAAAGTGGAAGGACCACCAGTAAAAAAAATACTGGAAGACACCTACCTTCCCTGCGGCTAGAGCTCTTTTTCCACCAGACAAGGTCGTAGGCGTCCGGAAGGGCATTGGGCTGAAAGCACCTGAAGCGCGTTTAGGTTAAGCGTAATAATTAAATATTTGAAGTAACTGGTCCAGCAAAACACCAATGGACGAGGAATATGCACAAGAACAGAGAAAAACTCCGTCAAGAAGTGAAAGCCTCCACCATCATGAACTCTCGATCTACAAACAGGGCACTGATCTGCTGTTTCATTTACTATTCGACTTGTGCGTTTCCTGGGAACATTATGGCTAACTGAACAGTCACCTCCAGTGGACGTGGGCGACTCTACAACAGCTGATGGCGTTCGAAATGGTGGATTATGTTTACTTCTAGCTCTGGTCACAGGAGTGATAGAAGGCTCAAGTGTTGAACGAGTAGATCTGAAAAATCTTTGTCACCTTGCATTATCAGTCTAGACTGTAGGTCTGGACGCCAAACCAAAGTATAACCATAGAAAAGTAGATAATAAAGGTTTATTAATTCTCAAAGTCAATCAACAATACTTGCCACATGCAGGAATATAAGCAAAAAATCCTAAAAAGAATAGCATAGCAACTGTACATCGTAAATTCACCAACACACTGCTGACAGAAGAAGTCCACCGTTCGCATAAAAACTGCTGCATTCAGAACGCGCCATTTATTAGGACATCTCTTGGGGTACAGGATGTAGTGGTTGGGTTTTCCCAAAACACGATCTCTCCCCCCCCCCCCGAACTCCCTAAATTTCCCTTTTCCAATACGATCTTCTCGGCCTCACTTCCTGTTTAACTGTTCTTACCAACCTTTGAAAAAACTTCACCGTCCGTCCAGGACTGGAGGGTGTGGGGTTAACATCTCCGATCAATTACCAGAAATAGTAGTTGCCAATTCCGCGGACTAGCCGAACAAGACCCTTTTTCTGGCATCGCTAAGTTTTCCAGCGTACGACGTGCCGTGTTTAGGCGAAGCGGCTATGTGTGTCCCGTGCTTGCATGGGCTCTCTTAAGAAAGGGGTTTATCACACAGTTCAAGGCTAGAAAATGCGGGTGACAACAATTTGACAAACAAGTAACACATGATATGGTGTGACATAGTCACGTTGTTTGGCACCCCTTTTGCTAAACTTCAACGTAGTTATACATCCTCAGGAACTGGACAACACTTGACAGAACATCTAGACTGCGAAATAAACAAACCGTGGAGTCTTCCGGAGGAGTGGCGATACGAATCCACCTTGCTTAGGAGCCTTATGAGTACTTCTCGAACACATAGTAAAGGGGCCCTGAAATGCTAAAACATGTCCAAGGTGATATGATGAGAGGGAAACTTTAGAAACGATCCTCGAGAAATGAACCCTGGAACAATAGCATTGCTATCTCATCTCGTACGTAAACTTCCCAAGGCTAGTGAAACGTGACCATTTTCTTCGCTAAACTTCACTGAAACAGTGCAGTTTGTCGAGGGTAAATGACAAAAATGAATATGAGAACCGGCGGCTTTTAGTGCCTGACGCTGTGAGAGATTAAGCGAGACATCTCTGAAGTTTAGGAGGGAGTTCTTCCCAATTTCAAAACGCCAAATGGATTAGGTATGGGTAGACGAGAGAGTAAGGAGAAGAACTAGGCAAAGAGGCGCCTTTCGAGCTGAGCACGTCACTACTCTCACGCTTGTCGCCACCCAACTCAGGCCGCGTTCATGGTTGCACGATTCGCATTGCGTCATTGAGCGCTCGAGTCGCGCAGTATGGGAGGAGCGCAGATTCGCGCAATCTTACCTGTGTCCCATCTCTGGTATCACAAACTATAGACGCTGTCTCAGCCGTTAGATGAATACAAAGGAATGGTAACTGCACGAAAATAGTACCTGCTGTCTGACAGTACAGGGAGTCGGGTAGGATCTCGATTCTCAGTATCTGCTACACAGCTAGTGCTGAAAATGCCAAAGCTCATGAGCGAGTTCCTGCATCAGGGAAACAACTGAGCCATACCTTTGGGGAGCGTCTTCTAGCGTAGCGTTCAAACGACGTTTAGCCAGTTCCAGAGCCGAATCCGAAACAGTTATTAGTTTATTCGTTCCAGCGGTAACGAATCCAGCAAAACCTGTTGAGGATCCCTTCGAACCTTCGTCCCTGAAATGACGCAGTTACAATCATAAACAAATTTATTCCCACTTCTAATAGCACTTATCCTACAAGTAACAACTGTTGCCAGTGATGCTTTTATGGGCTGACGTCTTCCTTTCACAGTGTCCACCTTTGAATGAACAGATTCGTGCAACTTGAGATGGGGAGAGCACTGAGCTTTAGGGGTTGCTAGTGCTCCGTTCATACTCTGCGACGGAAGAGTAAGAGAACTGGTGGTGCAGCCAAGTCTTATGGTTGCGCGGCTCTCAGGAACTGGTGACTAAACGTTTCCGGAGAATGCCTGGCAAAGGTGAGGATGGATATCGATAGCTCCGGTCGCTAGCAATTCGGTTTTATGGAAGAACACCCACTCTCAAAATGGAAAATCACCTCTTTCCCTCTTATTGTTCCAAGACACATCCATGCCAAATCGATACCAATACTTTGCTTTGACGCTGGCGTGCAATCTCTCAAAACAGCAGAGCGCCGATTCTTTTATTCTCCAAGTCGCCAGATCGGCACGTACACTTCCCAACGAGCCATTCTGGGACTTCGATCCGCCAGTCGGCTAATTCTGAAACGCAGTTGTAAGGAAGTAGGGGGGGGGGTGAGGTGTCCATTCAAGTCCCTCATTTTTGCGACGGTCACGAAGAACAAGTGACTGCGAATGTGATAAAAGGATACGTGCTGGCAGCGTAACGACACGCCATATGGTCAGGCGCATGGCTGACTGTATCGCGTGTTGCGTGTCTGTGAGCCTCTTCGCCACATACCGAATGGCGTGTTGGGATATTGAGAACATCCAATTACGAACGCCCCATCAACACCTTAAGTCAGCGCCGCTTTGGCAGTGGTGGCAAGCCCTCACCCCAACAGGCAACAAACCGTGCTTCTCATGTACAAGAAAGAGATTACCTCGCCGATTCTCGCGTGAAGGTATAGCAGGTAGTTGCCCTTTCTAAATGAAGGCTGTGTGGTAATAAGCAACTGTAATGACAAAGATCAAACCTATACTCGATAGGGAGAAGTGTTACACAAGGAAGCCGTGCGGTAGAAGGACAGGTCTTGCGAGTTTGCACAGAACTTGGAGCAGTATCTTACTGTTATTATGTGAACTTGTGGAAGTGAAATGATGAAACAGGGACGCGTAAAACAGCTCAAGCAATTACCTGGCAGTAGTGACTTCCCCTTCATCAGCACATCGATGATGCAAAAGATCGAGCTCGAGCCAAATTCAAGGCCGCCTCACTGACTTTGATTTCACGGTTTGAGCCAGCCGTAAAAAATCCCGTGAACTTCGGTATTTCACCTGAAAAAAAGTGTCGGATTCATTGAAATTTTTTCCGGGGGAAGAAGAACTCCGAAGCTGACCATTTTTTTAGATGATGAAGATGTGGCGGGTTGTGGACAAATCCTGCAACGAAAAAAGCTTAAGTTCCCTTGCTTCATCATACTAACAGTACTGCAATAAGTTAAAGAAGAAGTACGGAGTGAATATGTCGCCGACAGGTCCACTACCTTTCTGGAAATAGGTGATGACGTGGCGTCTACCATGTTAATGACAAGTAAACCTTCTCTGTTTCGTTCAATGACTTCTTAAAACGCATTATAAGGTGTGACGTCATGGACACGTCATCTGCCTCCTGGCAGACATTGGAATGGTTACCTTTGCTACATCAGCGAAAGTAAGTTGCTAATAAACATAAATAAAAATAAAAACATAGAAACATAAAAATGCTGAGAATTCGATAAACATAATACCTTTTCGATGAAGGAAGAACTGTATCGAGGTTTTCGACTTGTCGTTTCAATCCGCAGGAAGATGCATGATTCGAAAAGTTTCTACAATCAAATGAAGTTGGTTTTATTAGGTCAAACTTCATTACCAGAACACTGCATTAGCAACGGAGAAAAAATGGAACATTCAAAACTTACAAATTTAAACTGTCGTTGAACGAATCTTGAACATCCTGAGATGCCGTCATCTGAGTGACTTTTAGAGCGACAAGGAAGTTGAACGGATGTCTGATCTCTTCTTTTTAGAGCATGACCGAATTCAGCTACAATGGAAGTAATGTGGGCCAGTCACAATAGAGCGCTCGATTGCAAATATCTGGCTCCAATGACAACGCGCGGGAATATTTCATCATGAACACGGAACCCAAGTGTTTGGAAACTACCAGTCTTTGTTCTTCATAGTTTTGCTTGAGAAACACCGCTGGACACGGGTGTTTCATGGTGGATTGAGGCCATGTGCCTTACTGGCCCGCTAACTCGTCCAGACCACAGGAGCACCG